AAAATTTTGTGGAATTATTCAGCATAAATAATTCCTTCAATATGAGAAAATTCGTAATTTAGTCACTAAAGACTGTTTTATTATTTCTGACAGCTGTCAGTGGGCGTATGTTACCTTGCAACGCAATTATCTTTTAAGAATGTATGCATTCATACAGGCTATTCCTTAAATAATATTTCATATTTAAAACAAAAAACAAACGTATCAATTCTACTACAATACAACTAAGACCAACTTGCAAAGACACCAAAAAAATTAGTGATATGAAAAAGTGGTCTGAGTTGTTTTTAACAAAAAATTTGTTGTTCAAATTGTCTTTGGTCTTAGTCGTCCTGATTACATAAATTTGTGGGAGCCGGGGTGGCTCAGTGAGTTGGACGTTTGCTCGCTAACCTGAAGATCCAGAGTTCAATCCCGGCATAGGTCGAGATAATACCTTCGGATTTTTTCAACCCGGTTTCCCACTGTCAGTGATGCAGGTGAGAGGGGCTGACATGGAAAAAGCGTCTAGTCGTTCGGATGGGACAATAAACCCAGGTTCCGTGTGCTACAAGCTGTGCACATTAAAGATCCCTCGACAGTTGGAAATCGAAAAAGAGCAGGCTAATGCCGCTGTCCTGGCTAAATTTCCCTCATTGCACCCTGCATGGCGTTGCCCGTCAACATAAGCCCACATGGTGCAGAAAAGTAGGACGTAAAACTCCATTCATTTCATTCCATTTACATAAATTTGTATGAACGAATTTACTTTGTGACATCCTTTTTTGACAAAATCACTAAAAAGATGTCCACTTCATGGTAACAAATACATGGGTTTTAGACTGCATGTCCTTCAAAGGACTTCTGATTCATGAAAATGTGGTGTAACCTATTTTCGTGCATATAAGGAGTCAACACCGAATTTCGTCAAATTTAAAAAACAGGTTTTTTTTTTATATGTCTAAGATGTTTCCTCAGATATTCTACAAAATTGGTTTGTTTCGATTTTCTTTATGAATCCCTCACTTTGACCCATATTTCATGAGTAACCAACTCGACAATGGCGGCAAAATGCATCACCTATTTTCGTGTACAATGTTTGACCTATAAATAAGTCTAGAAAACCCCCGTTGTAAGCATACCTAATGGTATAATTAACTTCTCTTAGTATTTGTCTTTAATATTAGTTCCTTCAAAGAAAATGACAATATATTATAATTTTTCAAAATTTATGATATTAACAACTTCATAAAGAAAATATATAGTAAAACATTGAAATGATTGAACATCTTTTTTTCTATGTCCTTATGATCAAGTTGTTTTTGGTAAATTAAATGAAATTTTATACACAAGTGAAATTAAAACTAGATTTTCTTCGGAATATTTTCATTTTGGAATTGAAATTTAAAACCAATCCACAGTGACTTTTTGCAAAACATTTAATATATTTGGCAAAAATATTATATTTACAAATGTAACCTTTGAAGCATTGACCCTAGTAAATTTGACTTTTGTAGATAGATATTTAATTAAAATAAAGAATTTAGAATTAAACACATCCCCCTATTCTAAAGTTTACACTGAAAAATGGATATACAAGCTTTCTAAAGAGTACACTAAGTGTCACAAATATCTGATAAACCAAAAATAGATTAAAAGTTAACCAGACCTGTTTGACACAGATCTGTCAGCTTCCAAGATATTTTACGCCCTCTGCATATATATTTCATTAAACATGAATGGGAGTAGACTGTTTGGAAACGTTTCTGACTGTAAAACTATCTTTAATGGGCTATTTCAAACAGCGGCTTTTTGGTTATTCCACTCTGACCTACAAAGGTGTGAAATTAACACCAAGTGCTCGGTCAGGTTTTTTATGGAGGGATTACGAGCAGCAGACGATAGAGTGACCAAGATAACATGACGTCGTAACAGACTATTTAACGGATAAACATCCCCACCATTCTAAATTTTAAATAAGTAAAGAAAAGGCCGAAACGTTAACCAACAGGACAATAGTATACTTATCGCTGACAATAGTCGATAATACTCCTTTTCCTTATGATTAATATTTTGTGGTCTGAGTCATATGAAGCATGTGTATTGGTTGTTTCCCTTTAGTAGAAAGTAATGGCTGAAAAGAAGCAAATCAGCTTTCTTCTTGATGTTCATAATTTTGATGGTTTAATGTATTATAGAGGAGGTTGTTGGGGCAAATATTTATGGTATGTGTTAAGATCTGTTGCATCTTTATTTCTGATATGTAATATCGTCTGCCATCCCTCTTTGCATATGAAATTCGAACAATTTGCTTGCTGTACCCTTGATGAGTAAGTAGTCTCGATCATGTATACTTCTTTAATATAGGGTTCTAGTCACAACAACTGCATAGAAGAACACGTTTTTATTAATGACCTTGACCTATTGTTTCTTACAGTTTGTACGTATTCCAACAATACAGAAAACGAAACATTGTATTAATATGATATCTTCACAGATCATATTTGTCTTTTTTAACCATGGACACTCAACACATGATTTTCCCGCTTATAGACTCTATTGTCACACAAGAGTTTTAAAGAGTTTTTTGTTTTTTGATATTCTTTGTTTTAAGGACTGTTTATTTGTATCTTTTCAGTCAATCATGTTTGTACGTATTTGTATATATAAAAGAAAAGAAAAGAGATTTAATTACTAATACCAAATACGCATCTTTAATTATAAAAAACGAAGCCCCTGTAGATTCACAACCTACACTTATTATTATTATTGTTTAATTGTTTATCCAAAGCAGATGTTAATAAAGCAAATTGATTCTTTAAATCAACTAATTCACTTCTGTTTATTTGATCGCCTAAAAATTGTACTTGATCTCCACTCGTGGTATCCTTGAATTTACGACATGTAGCCCTATTTGTAGTCCGAAACATCTGCCTCTATTCCAGCCTCTGATGGATATTTTTACAGTTGTCGGCTGGAGTCAGAAGAAAAAGACCCTGTTAAATGGAAAATTTCTACACACCTCCAAAGATGCGTTCTCTCTACCATAATATAGAATTACGGTTATGATGATTGTAAATTAGTGTTGGGCACTTTCGTTTTCTTAGTATCAGGTGACTCTGTGATCTTTGAACTTGTGGCTGCGCACGCAATTTTAAATGGCCGATGCTAGTTCAGTTTCAACAAAAAAAAATTTTGATGACATAAATGGTGTAGATCGCATCTTTCCAAATATACCTGGGTTTTGCAGATCCGAGGTAACTAAATAGGTTTAAAACCCATGCACCTGCAGAGATGCAGAATGTCTCCATTTAACAGGGCCTATTTTTTCTGTCTCTACACTAGCTGACATCTATCCAAATAGCTATCAGAGACTTGAATAGAGATAGCTGTTGGTTGGTTGGTAGATGACAAGCTTCCAGCGGATGCTAATATCGCAAACTAGGTAGTTGTTGGTAGTCGTAGTAGTTTGTAGTTGGATTGGTTCAAATTGAATGATTCTTCGTTAGATCTGGTCGGGTCGAATGACATGGCGATGAAACTCGGCCCTAGATGGTGTGGCGTGAGTTACTCGATCTCCTTCATTTTTCCAAACTCATTCTGATCATGGTAATTCTTGTTGATTGGTAGTCGTTGGTTTCGTTTGGTTTGGTTAGATTATCTAATAACTGTTGAAAAACTAGAAGACCTGAAAAAAAAGAAAAAAAATAAAATTGAGAAAAGGAGGGAAGATGTTCTCTGATGTTTCTGCAATGAAACTTGTTAAATTGATTGGATATAATTAAAAAAGTATAAAAATTAGCCTATCTGTTCAAGACAGATTTCGTTATAAAATGGAAGACGAGATCTATTATCGTATGCCAGTGGTCCGTGGGTCTGCCCACAATTGTTTTGGACACAAATGAGAGCTAGTTTCTTGACTGACTCGTAATCAATTGCCAATGATGAACCCTATTGAAAATCAGACAAATAGAAAAATATTGAATATGAGTTACTGCCCTTGTTCTTGAAAACGTGTTCAATTTTAGCTCATGAACAGTCTAGAAGGCACAATTCTTGATGAATTTAGACGCATCTTGGTGAAATTATTAATTATTACCAAAGGATGAAGCCTATTGAAAAAATTTTAAACTTGGTGTGAGTGTTTGTAATCACTATAGGATGAACCCTATTGAAAATCAGAAAAATATTTAATGTGAGTTATTGCCGTTGTTCTTGAAAACACGTTCAATTTTTAGCTCTTAAATAGACTAGAAGTCACAATTCTTGACAGATTTAAATGAAACGTTGTGAAATTGTTTAATATTACCCAAAGATGACACTCAACAAGGCACAATGCTTGACGGATTTTAAAGAAACTTGATGGAATGGTTTATTATCACCCAAGGATGAAACCTATTAAAAAGCAGAAAAATCAAAAAATATTTGATATGGGTTATTGCCCTTGTTCTTAATCGGTTCTAAAAGGTCTAGAGGAAACTTTGTGACATTGTTTATTATCCCCTTAGGACGAACCCTAAGGAAAATCAAGGAAAAAAAATAAAAAGGTTGTGTGGGCGCATTAAACACAATAGAGGTATACATTTTTTATCCCATCATGATGAAACTTGTTATGCATGTATATATTCTCGTGAGATCTAATTTGATAAAAATCAGATGAACGGTTTTGGAGTTATTGACCTTGACTTAGTTAAAACGTGTCATATTAAGCTTGTAAACATGATAGAGGCTACATTTTATTCCCGATCTTGATAAAACTTGATATACTAGTATATATTGATTAAATCTCTGTCAAGTTCGAATGTGGTGTTATATCAGTTGAATGGTTTTGGAGTTATTGCCCTTGAAAAAGTAAAAACGTGTCAAATTTTGCTGTAAACATGATATTGTTTATCTGATCATGATGAAACGTGGTATGCATGTAAATATTGTATATAAAATTTGACCCAGACAATACCAAGATAATTTATGCTTAAAAAAAGTATGAGTCTTTAATAATTGTTTTTTTATTTTTTGTTTAGGTAGATATCGGTTTTAACACGTAAGTGAAATGGACATTGACCCTGATGAAGACAAATCACAGCACAATCTACAGGAAGAAAGATTGTCCTTACAATCACAGAGAGAATGTGATGAAATATCTAATAATGTTTTTCCTCCTGTAGGAGGTCGTCACGTTATTTCTGTAATAGGCGAGTCACAACCAGTTTATGTCAGCCATATTGGTCCTCATTATGAGCCAATGGATGAAAGTTCTGATAATGACACACCTAGAGTACCAAGATACAGTCTCACTACTACAAGAAACCAAACTTTCAATATTGAACAAAACCGTTACGAATCTTTTAGGGGTAATTGGCCCTCTTATTCTACTGTTTCAGCTGATTCATTAGCTAAGGCAGGTTTTTGCTATCTAGGTCCAAATGATCGAGTTGAATGCGTATTTTGCAATGGAATTTTAGCAAATTGGGAACAAGGAGACAACCCTCAAACTGAGCACAGCAAACATTTTCCTAATTGTCCATTTGTTAAGGGACATCATGTTAATAATGTACCTTATCAGAGACATATTGCTTCTATTCAACGGAATATACCTGCTCAAATTAGAACAACACTATTATCTCATCACCCTTCAAAACAGGAAATTAAACATCCTCAATATCGCATTAAAGCTGAAAGATTAGTCACCTTTAATGATTGGCCTTCACAGATGAGACAAAAACCTGAAGACTTGGCAGAGGCTGGCCTCTTCTATTTAGGTAAGTGAAATTACTTTATGTAAGGTTTCAAATAATATCTCATTTGATGATATCTAAAGCATCTGAAAGAATATCTAACAATTGGGATGACAATATATTCATATTTCTATATACTTTTAAAATAAGTCCATATTCATCTGTGGCCTTAACTTGTGTCATAAAACAGAATCCCAGTCGAGTCCAATAAACCCATAATAGTATTCTATAAAACTACAAGTTTTAAGTGAAAAACACTTGAGGGCATTTGCCTTGGAAAAATGTCATGAACAGGCCTGTTGCTCTGTTGTATTCACAAGTGGAAAAGGAAAATGCATGTGTGAAAGTTTTTCGAAAAAATAACAATATTTCAATTTTGTACCCACAGGATCAAACAGAACGGCCAAAATTGCTCGTTCAGGGTGGTTGCATTTGAGTGGCAGGACGTAAAATTACGAGATTATGACGTCAGGTCATAGATAGAAATGTATACAAATCAATATGGCTGGCATGTAACATTATTTAATCGGGCCAGTGAAAAAACAGAAAGTTTTAAGATTTGCAATTTTATCAGTTTCATAGTTAATCACTACATACATCTGTTCTAAATCTATTCTTCTAAGAAACGATAGCGTATTTCTGAAAAAATTTCGTTCGATTTAAAAGAGTGATTGATGCTAGGTTTAAAATTGAATAAAATATTATGAAGGATGTTAGATCATTGGTATTTCTTTTTGTTATGACTTATCCCCACGCTTACATACGATAAAATGTCTCATATATTCTTCATACACTTAATTTCTTCTTTTCAATGGTATGTAAGAATTGAAATTTTGTTGAAAAAAACTTGTAAAAGTAACTGTGCTTAAATTGAATTTTGCTGTATAAATTTCAGCCATTAATGCAAATCTCATGATCTATTAACTGTAGACACTTGAAATTTTGAATATAACTTCATATTGTTCACATAATAATAGAACTTGGGACATCTGGGTCACATTTACTTTTATAAAATTGCAATTTGTCATAACTCGTTATTAGGAGTTACTGCCCCTGTTCTAGAGAAAGCGTTAAATTTTTAGCTCGTAAACACTCTAGAAGGCACAAACTTCTTGAAGGATTTTGATGGAGCTGGGTGTGAAAAAGGATCAACCGTTTGAAAATTAAACGATTCAAAGATGGCTAAGTGTGATGAAAAACAGTGCTTTTACTTGATATTGGCTTGGATGATGGTTGGTACGACAGTGTCTTACATCATCTTCTTTGCATCTTATTTTTTTAAGGTCATGGAGATAAAGTGAAATGCTTTGTTTGTGATGGAATGTTACATTCATGGGAATATAATGATGAACCATGGATAGAGCATGCTAAATGGTTCCCTTATTGTGACTATGTCAAAATGGTGAAAGGAGAGGATTTTATTAAAGGGGTTGAAAATGGAGAAATACAGACATTACATCAAAAGGTTTGTATACAAATGATTCTGCATATAATATAAATGGAAGAAATCCATCAAGACTTGTACTTTTTAGCCTGTGCAACCTTTCTGCAACGGCGGGCCACAATCAATGAATCATGGAATTGACAATGAGAAACATGTAATTTTTCAAGTCATTTATTCTATAACGTATTTCAATGTGGATTGCAAATAACAGACATATTTGACTTAAAATCACTGTTTCACATGAGGTCAGACCTCCTTAACAATTTTATTGGTTATTTTGACGTCATGCTTAGAAATAACAGCGCGGATATAACAGGTTTCGATATAATAACAGGTAGCGACAATCTGCGGGCCACACCGACAGTGACAAGAGCAAATGAAGCATTTGCTAGCTGGCCTCATTTCCCTCAAATTTCATGTGACGCCGTGGGCGTGTGGATTTTTCATATTTTTTACCATCACACTATACTTAAGATTTTAACTAGGTGTTATCTGGGCTAAAAGAATAAGTCATGTCGTGATCAGGCCTGTTGCTCTATTGCATTAACAAACGGAAAAGGAAACCAGAGCCATGCGTGGCACAGAGTGGGTAAATGTAGCAATTTGTAAAAGACCCTGAAAAAATCAATCATCGACGATAATTAGATTTTGCGAAAGAACAGTATAAAGTTGAGAAGTTTTCATTTTTTAGAAGATTGTAATACCTGACATCAGATCTCACAAATGAAAGTATTTCATCTTGTAAAGGAGAATGTCAAAAAAGGTCAAGATAGTAGTATAAGGCCTTTCAAAGAAATGGTTGAAGAAGAATGGTATGAAAGTACTAGAATGGTTCCGAAACACACCGAAAAAGAAAACGTAGAAAAAGTTTACTCACATACACACCCTTTTATAAGATATTTTATCAGACAATCCATTAAAGGAGGAAGAGTTTCGGCAAATCTAAAATCATTTGAAACGATTAAAATGGAAGAAATTTGTAATGTATTAAAGGAGTGATAATATAATTGATTTATTTAAAGAATATAGTAAAAGTAAAAAAGATAAAACGGAAGTTAATTCAAAAAATAAAAAAATAAAATGTACTAAACTAATGGCCTTTGATGCTAACGGTTTATACGCTTCAGCAATGTCAGATTTAGACAGTGAATATCCTAAAGCGGAAAGTGCGAGAGCCTTTCAACCGAAAAAAGAAGAAGAAGAAGAATTTGTTAAGCTCTTTAATGAGCAGAAATTCAGACCTAGATCGGCTATTTTAAAAGTCTGGTTTAAATATCCTACCAATATGTTCTTCCAACCCATACCAGCTAAAGATAAAATTAATTATACGAACAAAAAGGTAATAAAGAAACTGGCACTAAAATCAGGTTCAGAAATGGTTTCTGTTCAGAAGTTTTAACATCGGTCGATATTCAAGAAATAGTTAAAGCTGGTAGACGAATTATTAAAATATTAGATGGTATAGTATACAAAGAAAATTATAAAACTCCACCATATAGAGATTATATTTTAATTTTGAAATCTAAGAAATAAATATAAACGAGAAGGTAAAATTGTGGGTAGTAATTGCATGAAATTATTAGGTAATTCCTTGGATGGTAAATCTATCCAGAAGGATATAACTACATCGAGACATTTATGGAGTGAATCAACTTTAAAAGCCAACTTCAATTCACACGTCAAAAGCTATCCTAAAGTAAATGAGACTCAATATATTGCTGAGATAAATGAAGAAGAAAAAGAATTTGACTGTACACCTCCTAAATCTGCACGACTAACACCTAGTCATTTGGGGTCATTCGTATTATCTCACAGTAAAAAAATAATGAATAATTTTATTCATGTAATAAATGGATTTTATAAACCTGAAATATACTATACAGATACAGATAGTTTATACATTTCGTCTAGCAATTGGGATAAACTAAATAAAGCTGGGTTGGTGTCCGAAAATGATTATTGTAAAGGAAAAGAAAACATTTAAGGGTTACTCTAATGATAAGATAGCTGTAGAAGATTATATTCGATTAGCAAGCGGACATGATGTATCGAATGAATTTAAGAAACCATGGGAAAAAAGTTTCACCAATGGAGTAGTTATTCCAAAGGATGATGCTAAACAAAAGAAAGTTTTCAGAAGTTATCTGAATCTCGTTTAGAGAAAGGCATCTGACAGCGAAGGAATTATGTATCCTTACAACAACAAAGATGAGTATACTTTGGATGAAAACTTCAAATTTGATGATTTCGATTATCTAACTATTCAAGAAGAGAATGAGGATTTAGTTTTTTTGTTGTAAATGAAGTTGAACAAAAATTTCCTCGTTACCAAAATCTATAAACCTATTTTTACCATCTTTGATTTCCAGATTTATATCTTTAATCATAAAGGAATTAAGTGGTAAATACGTCGTTTGAAATGGTTTCTCTATAATTCTATATCCAATCGGTACAGTGGATGTTGGAATACTGTAAATCTGACGTTTGTATTTATTGAAAAATCCACCGTATTAAATTGCAATGTATATTTATCACATCGATATCATTCTCGATATTAGCTTTGTGTGGTGCTAATGTTGATAGTGTATATATTTGTTTATCAAAGCCTAGTAAAGTATTCAATGAATTTTCTACATTGAAATCAACTTGACTCTTATTTCTTAATATCAATTTTATTTTGTTCAGATTCAAATTACCTTCGAATTCAATAATGTTTTTACCATTTACACTTCCTCCATATTCAGATAGCTATTCTTAGCTTCCTGGTAGTAAACGTATGGTATCTGTTGATATTTTTATTTGGTTATTTTTTTCGTTGATATTTCTAATGGAATTGTAAACAGAGAAATACGTTAATCCCAATTCTTATTCTTGATTGCGATCGAGTTCGTACTCATAGTCTAGAGACAATTTAATGTCTGATTTATTTGAGGTGATAACGAATATTTGTTCTTTATTTGACATTTTTAATCACGCTTTTATAATCATTTTTATCTATGATACCTTTCTCTAGGAGTCTTTTTAATATACAATATACTTCATTATATTGTCTGTGTGATCGATGTCCTTCCTTCATTGCCGCTAATATTACTCGTAATCTATTAAGTAGTTCCTCGTTGTTGTCGGATCAAAACGTTATACCTTGTCCAGATGCCACCATATCATCGAATTCGTCTATTTCTTGTATTTTTTGATTTTTGTCTTCAGCATAATCATTTGATACCTCATCTTCATATTCATCAACTTCATATTCATCAGGAATAACTTTTCTTTATATATGTTTCAACTGCTTTCGATCTTCTTGTTTCGGATCCCGACTTTCTTATTGCATGTAGAAATTTTGAGTATGCTGGTAAATCCTTGTAATCAGCAATGCTAATAGACCCGCCATTCATTAAATCTATTAATCCTTTTGTTAATGTAAATATTTAGTCTTTTGTATCGATTTTTAATAAAGGGGAATTTGCCCTAAATTTTATTCTAAATCCATTAAACAATAACCCCTCATCATCAATGATTGGTGTAATACTCTTTGGTAAATCTGCTTTAGGGTTTGAATAAAGACTATTAATATCATCTAATGTCCTAATTATAATACCACCATATTGATTCGGTTCTGGGTGATCTTTATGAGGTTCTATAAGAGGTTTATATTCTAAAGCTAATTTCTTTTTAATATCCTCTTGAGATTTTAATATTGGTTGAAATAGAGTTTGTAGATTTTCTGTTAATCCAAGTTATTCTAATTTGTTTTTTTCAACTTGGGTCTTTATTTTATTCTTAGCTTTGATATATTCTCTATTTCTTTTTAAAATATTATTCCAATCGCTACTCATTTTTAAAAAAATAAAATTAACATATGTCGATCATAACTCTTTCACCTGCAGGTTTTCTAGTATTAACAAATACATATCCATGATCATCTGGGTTTTTCCATTGAGCTTTACAAACCTTTTTAAATGCATCTCTGTCCATTCCGTGATTAATCGACTGAATGATTTGAGATAAATCTTTATCATTTTATTCAAATAATAAAAAACAATTTGCATTTTTTCTAATGAACATAGAATCCATTCCGTAAAATGATTGGGATTGGTATATGCAGTGACAATTGTAATGTCTTCCTTTCGTGAAGAATTCTTGTTGAACAGCTTGATTTCTTTGCGGTATACAGTCGTTAAACAATATTAAGTTCTTTCGATTGCTATCAATATTAGACAAGTCTAGATCATTAACATTCTTCATAAGAAAAACTTTTATATCCGTTGGATTCTTTGATTTGATGAAGCTATCTATGATATCTTTTATTTCCACTTCTTCTTCGTTTTCTTCATAATATTGAAATATGTCTTGAACATCTTTCTTTGGTAAATATTCTAAAGCTTTGAGAAATTGATAATACGATTGCTCTGATGTTGTTGTGTAGATATACAAAGAATCGAAATCTCATCATATCTCCCATTCCTGAACCTTTGGCTTCCTTTTCCATTATTAAATTATATCTGCATTCTTCAGCGGCTTTAGCATCAGCTGCTTTCTTTGCGTTGGCAGTTTTGACTGCGGCAGATATTCCTCCAGTAGCTGCACCCGCCGCTGCAATACCACCAAATATTAAAGGTAGTAAGAAAGGTAAAAATCCACCTTCTTTTGCGTTCGCGTCAATTCTTTCTAAATCTATATCGTGTCTGACTTTACAATATTTGTATTTAGCAATAAGTTTTTTAGTTATGCTGATTTTTTTTACCATTGAAAGTTATTACAGTTGGGGAAGCTGTTTCAATAGCTTCTATTATTTTCATAAGTTTCTACTTTCATTTTGAAGGGGGTATTTTTTACTCAATTCTTATCATTCTTCTATCTGCTATTTTAATTAAATGTTTTGCTTCTTCGAGTAGTAAATAATAACCGGTCACATCTCCTTGTGTTTTTTCAATATGAATATTTATGTTGACTCCTGTTTTGAAAAGATCTTTTTGGTGAGCTGATAGATCAAAACAGAAGATTGGATGATTAAGTGCAAA